CCTGCACTGAAGTACTCGTCCTCCGAGAGGGCGGTCACCTCCGTCTCCAGCGGGAGGGGGTCGCACAGGAGGATGTCTCGGCCGGGGACGTCGCACTCGTAGCCGTCATCAAAGAGCAGCTTGTACTTGCCCGCCCCGACGTCCCGCGTGATGGTGCCCGAGTAGAAATAGCCGTTGGAGGACCACTTGGCCACCACCCGGAGGCCCACCAGGGTGCTCCCAGCGGCGGAGGAGGAGGAAGAGGCACCGGCGGCGGCGGAGGAGGAGGAGAGGCCGGAGCTTTCGGAGAGACCCAGCCGTTCTTGCAGTGGGATTTCCGGGGAGTTGCTGCGGCGCCGCAGAGCCCCCGGCGGCTCCTGGCCCTCCGAAAGAGGGCCGGCCGCACGGGCCAAAGCGTGGTTCTCGTGAGGGGAGTCTGTCCCAGACGGCTCTGCCCTCACAGGCGGACGGTCTCTGGGCAAGCACAAAGAGAAGATGGCTGCTCGCTCTGGAAAACTGCCTCAGTCTCTCTCTCTCACAGACACACAACGACAGCCAGCCAGCCGAGTCTAGCCCTGTCTCCCTCGTGGAACTGGCTAGCCCTCACTACACTACCTGGTTGTGGTCGGTCGTGCAGCGGAACGGCCCTTTCGCCCTCGGCTACGGGAAGGGGTGTGTGGGCTCCCACCCCGCAGGTGGCTCAGGCCTGGCTCTTCCTCCTCCTCCTCCTCCTCCTCACACACTCCAACCGCTACACGGCCACGCTGGACTGGAGGTCGGGGCCGGCACCCTGCCTTCTTAGGGCTAGAAGACAAGAGGCAGCTGGAGAGCGTCTGTGCAGCCAGAAGGCAAAGGGCTTCCGCCCAGCCTCCCCCTTGCAGGCCTCGTGCGTCGGCCTCAGGGCTTCGCAGGGCCATTTATGTGCCACTGCTGCTCGAAGCAGAAGCCGATTACTGCTCTCAAGGCCCAAACCCTTCAGTTAAAAACTGCCTATGAGAGAAACCCGGAACCCGTCAAGGTGTTTCTCCTTCAGCTTTGGGCAATTTAAAATCAAATGCTGACCTTCAAACCTCCTCCAAACATCTTCGAAACATCATCATATAAAACCTGCCCACCCCTCGCCCAAATAAACCCAAAGAACTCTTCATCTCCAGGGCATGACAGACCCTGGTTGTCTCTTAAGCCTTCAGGACACCAAGCCCCCCAGGGCTCCACCTGGGCCCGTCAAGAGGCCAGTTCCGCTCCCGAACTCCAACAGCAGGGCGCGGCCACGCGGCCTTTTCTACGTAGTGCTGCCCTCCGCCCCCCCCAGCAGCTGAGCCCGAGGTGCGTGCGTGGGCATTCCCTCCCCTTCCTGCCTTTCAGCCCCACACGCACCTTGGCCTTCGGGCAGCAGGTGAGTCCAGGCCAGCCAGCCGGGCTCCTTTCAGGGACCTGGTGGCCTGGTGAGAGCTCGCACCGCCCTGAGTGACCGACAAGGCGGCGCTCCCCCCGCTGGACGCGTGTCCCAGCCCTGACGCCCTAGAGGAGAAGGAGCTGACGTCCCCGAGGTCCCCCGAGGCCAGCGACGACGATGCCCCGGTGCGGGAAGGCGAGACATCCACCTCGGACTCCTGGCACTCCACCACCGGCTCCTCGTTCTCCTGGAAGAGAAGCGGGGAGGAGGACATGGAGGACACGGGAAGAACCGCAGGACCCAAGAAGAACAGAAGCCCCGACTGGCCGGAGAGAGGGGCAAAGAAGGGCCAGGCGCCTCTGGGCTTTCCCCTTTTTAAAAAAACTATTTTTTTCATTGTCTTGTTTTTTACAAAACGAAAACTAAAATGTAAACTCAAGAGTGATGACACACGATATACACTGAACTTTTCCCACCTTGTGCCACCTTCACCCTTGGGGCGAGGTGACCAGTAATACCAATTTATATCCCTTTTCACCCCATGCCTCTCAAAAAAATACATGGGTTCTTTTGCTGGCCTGTAACCTTTTCCCCAAATATAAATTCCATACATCCTTAAAATCATTAGACTTTACCATTCCTCTTCTTATTTTCATTTAACATGTTATTGTTAATTGCTAAGCTCCACATTTTTATACCAGTCTTCCAGATTAATTTGTCGCTTTTCCAATTCTTTGCAAATATTGATCTTGCTACTGTAACCATTATAACAATTAACTCTTTCTGTTCTTTTCTATGATCATCATTTTTAATTATGTTTAGGAGAGCTATAACGGGTAATATCTGAATATTTTATCCAATAATTTCTCTAATTTCTTTAAAAACTAGTCCCCATTCTTTCTTGTTTCACACGTCCACCACATACGCATATAAGTCCCTTTTTCCTTTTTGCCTCTCCAGCACTGAGATGGTATGTTTTTATTTATTATAGTCAATCTTACTTGAAAGTACCATCTCCATGCTATCTTATAACGATTTTCTTTTACCCTTACAGACATATTTTTCATTATTCTTGGTGACTATATCTTGTTTCAGTCCTCTCCTTCAATCTCTTTCTCCAAGTCCTCCTGCCACTGGTTTTTCACCATTGCTTGTTCGAATCAGAAATGTACTAAAATCTTATATATTACACTAACTGTTCCCTTTCTTATGTTTCCTTCTCCTTGGTCTTGTCTTTGTTCGACAATCTCCGCAAATTTTGTCAGTTTTCGAATCTCTCTTACTGCCCAGCACCATCTACTGGATTAAAACAGCATCTTAGGCCAACACACGTACGTACACACGCGTGCATGCACATTTAAGCATCAAACTGCAGAGGACGCTTAATCATGATGCTCCACTCTCACGTGCAGCATTCAGGGCCCCACAAACAACCCCCGCCAGGCATGGGGGGCCTGGTGTGACAGAGCTCCAACCAGGACTGGGGAGGTCCCTAAAGCCACAGGTGCCCCTCGCTTTCTTTGGGACGCCTGGGGAGGGGGGGGCGGCCCTTGCCTGGATCAAAGGCAGCCGCTCCAGCCTCTCCTGGAACCAACTGCAGCCCGGCTCTTCCAAGCGACTTGAAGGACATCCCTGGCTCCCTTAAGCCATGTGGCCGCTGGGACCCTGACACCACCTTCAAATAGAAGTTGGATGTTCTGTTTGGATCATGGGACAAGGTTTCCAGGACCCAGAAACACAGCTGAGTTGCTAGATGATGATAATGATGATGCACCTCTCTCTGCAATTTACAGGAGGAAAACACACACCCTCTCCTCTTGGCCCAGAAAAGAAGCAGGATGACAATGGGGTGCACCAAGCCGTTTTTTGTCCAACACACCTCCGTATTATCCAGAAAATCTTAAGTCTGTTGCTTGAAAAGAAGGATCGGCTCGGGGGGGGGGGGGGGGGAGAGAGAACAGGCTGAAGTACGTGGTCTCCGAACTGAGTTCAGGAGCCTTCTGGCAGTTCTAACCACTGGTCTACACAGCCAGCACCACCCACAGCAGTGATGGAGAGAGCGCATCCAGGCCTCCGGAGGCCTCCGGGAGGGTCTGTCGTGAAGAGACCCAGGACGAGACACGAGGGCAGCTGGCGCCCCCTTGGGGCAGCTCACCTCTACCACATTGCGTTCCACCTCGACCCCATCCTTGTAGTAGACGTCCGTGATGACTCTCGTCACTTGCGTCCGCACTTCTCGGATTGTTCGAATGTGACGCCGCAGGACTTTGCCTACTGGGGGGAAAGACGAGTCCGGCTCTTCCACAGTCTGCAGAAAAGAGAAAGCCCCAGAGGGAGGTTCAGAGGCTCCTCTTGGACGACGTGTTTCCGGGCAGGGCTGAAAAGGGAACAGCCCCAGCCCCCCTTCTGCCAGCACAGCCAGCAGGATGAGGGACGGCAACCTTTCGGGACATAAACCCCTCCAGGCCGTGCGGGGCCAAAGAGGGCCAAACGACTGTCTGCCTCTCTTCTGGGCCCAATTCTCGGCCTCAAGAAAGACAGGCTGTAATTCCTGCATCGCTCCATCTCCGACAAAAGAGCTGGCACTTAACACAAAACACACCTGAGATATCCTCCCTCGCCAAGTCTGTCTCTTTTGCTTTGTGCTTTTTGTTCTACCACTTCATTTTCCTACTCCTGGCACACATGCTTTCGCTGACTTGAAATCCTCACAGGTTTACCAGCTTCATTTAAGAAAAACTACTGAGACAGACAAACACGCCACCTTTCTTCCTGACCAGGCTGAGAGATGCCGCTCCCTCTCACCTGGTTACGCAGAGTCTCTGCCGTGTTCCCAGGTGTTTGCGCCTCCTCAGTTTGCACCTCAGCATCCTGCTGCCGTGGCCGTGAGCCAGCCTCACTCACCAGGCTGCAAGGCACGGTCCGTGTAGCTGCGGACAGGAAGACTGCTGCGCCCCCAGGACGTTCGGCCACCGCCTGGACTCCCCCCTGGTGGCTGGAGTCAGCCTCGGGCCCCAGGCTCCCCCTGGTCTCTTCAGTCTCAGGAGGAGGCTCCGGCTTTTTTGGGGCTCCTGGCCTTGCCTGCTCCCGGGCGCCAGCCACCTCGGCCTCTGTCTCCATGGCCTCGGCCTCCTCCTGGCTGCCGGCTGGTCTTTCAGCCTCCTTCCCACCATCCGAGACCAGCACGCTCTTCGGGGAATCAACTCCCTGTTGCCTCAGAGAGGCCCCGGGAGAAGCGGCCTCTTCCTTCTCCTTCTCCTCACCCTGGGAACTTGGGAAATGGATCAGGTCACCCCTGAGACCAAGCAAAACAAGGTGAGAACAGCCCCAAATCTGGCGCTGGCCACACAAGCCCTCCGAGCAGGGAGCCTCTTTCAAGCCGAGAGCGTGCGAGCAGGGCGTGACCGCCTCAGCCTTTCTCGGCTCCCTGGCCTTCGGGTCAAAAGGCCGCATAAGCTCAACACTGCTCATGGCCAGGAAGAATGTAGGGCGTGAACCGCATGACTCCGAGTGCCGTGTCTGGATTCGGGCTCCCAGGTGGCTTCCAGGCAACATGTGGCCCAAAATCCACCACACAAAAAATACTTCAGCTCCCAGAAAGTCCTGCCATGACGCCAAAGTGTCACAGGAGGAAAGAGCCCCCCCCCCCCGAGCGGCTGTTCTTTAGCCACCATCCCACAACAGCACAACTAGCTCCCAGGCTGCCTGGGGGAGGGGCGTGGGGGGCGCGGGGGGGCAGGGCAGGTGCTCCCAAGCCCCAGGTACCGCCCACACGAAAGCCGCTTCCAGGCCTCCTTGCCCCTCTCCCTGAGTTCTGCTTGCCACGCCCCACGCCTGAACCCAGTTCAGGATGGAGGCACTGTCTCTCCCCCAGACAGGAGGGCTTCTGGGCGTGCTGAGCAAGGCAATGCGGACAAGAGGAAGCAGAGGTGCAACCCAGCCAGTGGCAGCCATTTTGGGCAACCCACTTCTCCGGCATGCCAGGCCACCCTTAAGAAAGTAGCCCCATCGAGGGCTCCTACGGACTTGCCTGAAGGGAGAGGAAGGCAACTCCCTACTCTGAGGTTTCTCGTCACTCTGGGCTTTGCACACGCGAGTGAACACAGAGGACGGCGTCTTCTGGTAGCTGTGGAGAGATGCATAGGGCACACTCAGGTGGGTGTTCCTGCCCAGACCTCAAGCAGACAGACCACCAGGAAAGCGGCCCGGCCAGTATCCACGCAAGGGAGCTGGCTGGGGCCTCAGTTCTCGCCCTGGAGAAAGCTCAGGGCACGCCAGAGGACAGTCCCCTCACGGCCAAGCCCCCCACAAGCCCCGAGAGCTGGGCCACCTGCCCTTGCCCTCCCTGGGCAGGCACCAGAAGCCCACCAGTCCACCCCTGCCTCCTCAGGGACTGGCAATGCATGCCCAGCCCTTGACCAGAGAGAGGGGGGAGCTGCCTGGTTAGCCTAGAGACATGAGGCGTCAAGACACCTAACGGGCTGGCCCTCTGCCACAAGGAAAGGCAACTAGGGCCCCCCTCTGGGCCCCCCCCACTCCCCGTCCATTCTCTGCCTGGGCTTCCCAGCAGGTCTGATCTCCAGTCTCTAGACACCAGCAACAGGCAGGCAGGCGGGTGGGTGGTCAGGAAGCCATCTCGGTCTGCTGAAGCAAAATGTCTTACAGTGCCTGTAAGACGGATACATTCCTTCAACAAAAACTTCCATAGACTACAGCAAAATATCTTACAGTGCCTGTAAGACGGACACATTCCTTCGACAAAAACTTCCATAGACTCCAGCCGACACCACCAGGCAAGACTGTCCTCCAGCCTTATGCCATATAAACTAGGACAACCTTTAGAATTCCTCTTCTCTTCCCCCTGGAGACCGGCAAGCACTGAATTACCTCGACACGCTGGCTGTGACAGACCCATTTTTCCTTTCACTGGCTCCAGGCTCTGGGGACAGAAAGAGGGCAGAGGCATCAAAAGAAGGGCTCCCCCGCCAGCGCCGCTCCCCCACCCTCCTTTCCCCACCCGGGAAAGGGCCTCTCTCCGCCCAGGGTCTGCCTGGAACTGCCTCCTCCTGGGGGAGGCTGCGACGAATCCAAAGGGCTGGGGATTTCCAGAAAGAAGCTCCCCTTTCCTCTGCCAGTCGTACCTGAACGACTGAGCCGGCTGGCGACCCTCCCTGAGATCCTGCGCCTTAATAAGGGGGATCCGGCCCCTCCCCTCCCCTGGCCCTTTCACAGCCCCTCCGGCCACAAAAGAGCTCCCTTTCTTACGCTCCAGGCTGAAGGACAGAGACTCCTCACTCTCTTCCACCCGAGGCGTGGTGGCAAGACTCATTCGTAAGGAGAGCTTCCCGGCTTCCCCCTCGTGGCCAGCCGGCGTGCCCTGCCTGGGGCTCTCCCCCCCCATCTCGGCACTCTCCTCGGTCAGGCGGCTGGCACCTCCCTCTGCCGTGACATCACTGGTCGCAATGGTGTGGTCCGGGCAGCTTCCAGCCCCTGAAAAAAAGCCAGGCAAAGTGACCCCTTCACAGCAGCTTCTTGCAGAGAACCAGCACAGGGGATCCCTCCCCTCTCCTTCTTCCAGGATGCTCAAGTTCTGCAACATTCGTGGGTGCCTGAGCTTTTGGCCCCTGACTCCCAAACTGCACCCGCCAGGGCTAAAGTCATGCCCCCCCCCACTCACCAATGGGTGTGCTGTGCTTCCGGGGGCCTTTCTTCAGCTGGCCCATGAGAGGAGAGGGGATGCCTGCCGTGGGCTCAGCGATATTCCTCTCCTTCGGCAGGAAGGGGGTTCCTGAAACAAAGTGCAGAAACAGTGGTGAGCTTAGCCCAGCCAGGAGCACTCTCTGCCCTCCTTCCTGGTGCTCCATGCATAGACCCTCCGCAGGCCCCGAAGCCAAGGAATGGGCCAGTCCTGCGTTCAGATTTCGGTCTTTCTCTTTGCTGCACAGAACTTGGTACCAGGGAAATTCTTCCGTGAGCTCCCTGTGCTTTTTTTATGTTCATTTTTAAAAACCCAACTGTCTGCCACTGTGCGAGGGCTTCCAACCGGAGCAGAGGGACCAGGGCTTGCGCACCCCTGCTCCGATTCCTCACACAGAGAACACGCCACATCTCTTCAAGCGTGTTCACAAAATGTACATCCTTTCCGAATCTTGCCTCCCAGATGCAAGAAACACGGACAACGAAGAAGACGACAGAGGAGAGCTGGAACCCGGGCTCTGCAGCCTGTCCAGCGGCCACATCAGCTGCGGGCGCTCCACCCAGCCTCCTAACCACAGGGCTCCAGGGGACACGTGCGCGTGTGTGTGCACAGAGCACTCACTGAAAGCTTTCCCTCCGGGCTCAACTCCCTCTCAAAGGGACATCTAAAAGGCATCAAGCCAATCGCCACCACAAAGGAAACAGCCTCCAGAACTCCCTTACAGACCTGTCCAAGCTGGGGCAATTGGGGGGGGGCACGGGGGGCTTGTAAGACAACAACACCTATCGCCTCTGCTTGTCTTACACACACACCCCTGTCCCTGGTAGCCAAGCATCCAGCTCTTCCCAGCAAGGATCCTGCACATACTTCCAAGGAAAGACGTTGCACAAGGAGGTGTGGTGGAAAGCAGGGGGTGGCGGCTGGCACCACTGCCCCAGCCTGTAGGAAGCCACCCAGCGATGCCAGCTGCTCCTGCACCCACCCCAACAGCCGCCCTCCGGGCCCCAGCTGGACACTCACCCGAGGGCTGGTGGTCAGAGGCAGCCCCAGCTCTAGGCCCCGAAGACTGGCCCTCCGGCTGGCTTCCTGCACCCCCTTGAAGGGGCCTCTCTTGCACAGCCGCGGCTGCCTTCCCTTCCCTGGCTTCCTCGCCTTGGCTGGTCCAGGGTTCCACCGGCCCCTCACTAGCCCGCCTTGCACGTCTGCGGGCCGCTTCGTCCTGCTTGATCCGCGAGGCTCCCACCGAGGGCAGCTGCAAGTCCCCTTCTTCATCCTCCACCTGTGCCCCATCTGGACAACTCCCTCCCCCGTTTTTGCTGGCAGAAAGATTCAAAGAGATCAGGACTCCAGCGGCCATCCCGCCAGGCTCCGGGGGTGCCCTGCATTCCAGTTCTGGCCGTGTCTGGAAATCGCCAAGCCTCAAGGCCATGACGGGGCTTGAAGAGACGCCCTGAGCCTCGGAGGGGCCTTTCCTCAGCTCTCCCCTCGGGTTTCCTGCGGTGGGGTGTGCTTTCTCCCCGTCTGCCCGGGGCCTCTCTGCGCGTGGCACTGCCTCTTCCTCTGGAGAAAGCAGTAAGTGAAGGGAAGGTCCGTCCTCGCTCGGCAGCTCTTCTGCCTTTCCTTGTTCCTCACGGGGTGGTGTCTCTGGGACAGCTTTGCCCTCTGACAAAAAAGATCCCTGGCCCGAATCGCTGTGCTCGTCTCCGAGGTCCTCCTGGACAGCGGGGGTGCCTTCCGGGGCCCGTAGGGGAGAGGGTGGGCTGCCCGCCTCAGGCGGAGGCTCATGACTGCTGTCAGCCAGGCCCTGCTTCTCCAAGGGAGCCACCCCCGCCCTTTCCTCCGCTTGCAGGTTGCTCATCTCCACCTCCATCGCCTGGCGGTCTTCACTCGCCGGGAGGACTAGAGCACAGGCCTGGCCCGAGGGCAACACCAGGGTCTCGGGGACATCAGAGGGAGGGCTGGGTGGCAAGCTGGCACTGGGACCATCCTTCCCTGCTTCTTCATTGCTTCCTTTTACCTCCAGACTGGGAGTTGGGAGGAAGGGGTCCTGAAAACAAGCCGAAGGATGGCTGAGCGGCAAGGACTGCACGGGGCTGGTCCTGAAGAGAGCCGGCTGCCACGGCCACTGCCTCCCCACAAGCCCTTCGCATCAGAGGATGCAGGACCAGGACTGTCCCAAGATACTTTCCTGAAAGATCGAGAACTGACCTCCGTGAACGCACCCCCGCCCTGCCCCCCTCCATCTCTCTCTCTCTCTCTCTCTCTCTCTCTCCAACTGGCTCACCCAGCAGGCAGGAGCCGAAACACAGGCAGCTGCCTTTGACAATAAGCCCAAGCTGCTGCTTGGCTCCCTTGGAGCAGCTGGCCGTCAGCGAGGAGACCCTTCTGCCCTTTTAACATGCAAGGCCATTTCCTTTCACAAGCTCCCACCCAAGCTGGGCAGACCTTTGCAGGCTCTTTGTAGCCTTCAAAACATTCTTGGGCAGCAGTCAAGCGACACACGGGAAGGGGAGATTGGCTGAGCTACCCAGACCATGACTAAGGTCTCCCCTGACATCCGCCAAGAAAGTGTCCCTCACCCGGGTTCCAAAGCCAGTCCCAGAAGAGCCCCCCCTCCCCGCTTGGAGAAAAAGAGGGCCTTCTGTACACTTACGTGGGAAAACGCTGGTTGCGAGGGCAGTGGGGTGGAGGCCAACGCCTCCTGAGACAGGGGCGTGGAAGCACGCTGGGACCCGGGAGTCCCCACCTGCACTGGCTCCCCTTCTGCTTTTCCTGCTACAACAAGAGAATGGTGGGAGAGCCATTATTCCCTCACTCAGGGAAAGCAGCCACCCATAGGCTCCAAAAGCAACACACAGACACAAACACACAACCAGTGGGCAGGTTTCTTTATCTTAGTACTTAAGTCCTGCCTCCCTTTTCGGCTGATTCTAAAAAAACCCCAAAAAGTAGATAACATCTCGCAAACAGGTTGACTACAATCACTCATATTTAGAAATGTTCGTTTCCTTCAAAAAATGTTTCGGCAACAGTCAAGCAAGACAGAGGAAAGGCAGAATGGCCGCACTACGGGGCCAGTGATTTGGGCTTAACCAAAGGCCACCCAGACACCCGACCACAAAAGATGAGGCACCTTCTGACTGCTGGTCTGTCGGGCTTCTTGGGACAAGGAGAGGCACCGGTTCCAAGTCACCATGAGATGGTGTCACCAAGGTGGATGCGCGGCTACTGCAAGGGGAGGAAGAAAGCACATGGCTGCACCGCCAGCCTTCAACCCACCCACGGCCCCACCCTCACATTTCTGGAGCAACGGGGACGGAAGCCGCTGCCAGCCTTGGCCATTGCTTGGCCTCTTTAGGGACCGGAGGGGGGGCTGGCCAGGAGATCTTTTGGGGGAACAAGGAGTGTATCTCCTCACAAGGAGCCCAGGCAAGGGCAGGGCATGTGGAAAGAAGGAAGGCCAAGAAAGTATGCCACCCATCAGGGAGACCAGCAGACACAATTAAGAAGCCACTTCACTTTGAGCTGCTCACAGAGCTGGCCAACAGCTGAAGTCTGGCTGACATCCAGAGGGTCTGGCACTCACTGCCCCAAGAACCAAAGGAGTGACTTACAGGACCAAGAGGTGAAAACACATGAAATATCCATCAGCAAAAGCTCCATGACTGAAACAAGGCAGCATTGATTGGAACCCAGCTGGGCTAGCTCCCTACCTGGAAAGAGGCACCTGACCGGAGAGATGCAGGACGCGCAAACAGTCTGCTGGTGTGGATGCCGGAGAACCTGCCCCTTCTACTCTGGCCATGGTGCTGCCGGTATCGACGGCTGTCCCAAAGAGGAGACAATCACAATTCACACCCTGAATGCCATTTCATAATTTGCTCCCTCCCGCAACTGTTCCTTTTCTCCAGCCCAGTCAACTCCCGCAGCCCACGCCTACAGTGACGGCAAATTTAAAAAGACCAAACACAACGGGAAGCATGTTTCGCATCTCCTGGCATCCCCAGCTACTGCTGCCCAGCGGAGTGTTCCCTGGCTGAGCAGGGTTTTTAACTCAGATCTTCCATCACTCTCTCCATTACGTCCCACAAGCTGTCTCACAGAATGTGATGCAAAGTATTTTACAAATAATGAACAAATATCCAAAGCCATCTGAACAGAGGTATTAGCTTCATCAGCATCATTTTCACCCCAAAGGCAAAAGGTTGTCCCCAGAGCCTTGCTGTCCCTTGTCACCTGTGGGACTGCTCTGGCTAAACAGCTCCTCCTGTGTAGACAAGAGTTCAGCCTCTTGAGCCTGATTCCGAGAGGGGTCCTTCCCTTCTGGGCTTCCGTCAAGCGAGCAACAGAGAGAAGTCTGGTTTCCGGCTATTTCTTTATGGAGTGATGGCATCCTAGAGGTACCACTGCTGGGGGACCTTGAAATACAAGTGCAACCACATAGTCAGAACAGTATTTCTGCAGTTCAGGAGTCTACAACACAGCAAAAATGCAAGCAGAAAGCTCTCTTGGGAAATAACCCCCCCCACACACACACACACACACGACCTTCCCCAGGAAGGCACAACCCATCACCAGAAGCCAAAAACTGCGGCTGAAGGATTTGGGGCCAGGGGAGCTCCCTTTACACCCCTTCCCCCCACCTGTATCCCTGCCACCTAAGGACGGTGTGTTTGCTTTTTCCTGGGATTTAGCTGGGGTTGCAAAGAGGATCTTGCTGCTGCTTCCTATAAAACCTAAACAGAGTGGGAGGAAGTCCCACCCTGTCCTGTTCTCTGGCGAGAGGAGAAATGGGGAAGAACATCTTTGAATGAGGATGAAATGCGCTGAAGGCACCTCTCTGCTGCCCTCAACCAGCAACATCTGCCCGAAGAGGACAAATGCCTTTTCTTATCCCTCCGGGTAGAGAGTGAACAGTCACCTTCCCTTCTGGCTTGGATTTCGCAGGAAGCAACAACAAGGCCTCACAAGTAAGTTTTTGCAAAATATTGGTTCCTAAGAACAAATGTAGTTCTCAAACACAGAAAAAAAAAAGGAAGAGAGCTACCACCAACACCTCCCAGAAGCATTGGTCAGCTGGGGGACGACAGCAGTTCAACACTAGGAAACTGCTCAATTGAGGTCAGCAAATCCTCCTGGTTCCCCAGCAATGCAACTGCACCCCCATCTCCACACAGAGAGGGTCTCTCTCTCTCTCTCTCTCTTTCCCACAGAAACAGAAGAGGGAAATTCCTCCAAGCCCTGAAGTCAGGTGACAGCAGACGCTCACTTGTCAAGGAAGCTGCTCTCAGGTTTTCTCACATTGCACAGCGCTGCTCCACATTTATCTGCAAGGAAAACAAGAAAAGGGTCAGAAAACAGACAGTTTGCCTCCTCCTGCCTTTCATAGAGCTGCCCCATGAGCCACCCTTCATTGGACTTGGCTGGACAATAATCAGCCCTACTTTCGAAAAGCCAGGATATTAAATCACTTATTTTAAATATTATCAGTCAATCAATCCACAACATCCTGGATGCTGAGTTAATAACACAGCCTGACTGTATCATCACCACCACAGTTTTGCAGAAGATGATCTGTGTCCTGAATTTTTAAGGTGTGGGGAAGGTATGGATTCAACCACACTTATCCTTTAAACTGAAGCAACTTTCTCTTCTAAACACAGAATTCCAAATTAAGGTAGATAAACCAAGGTAGCATTTCCATTGGAGACACAAAAGGGTAGCTCGCTCTCTGGAAAGCACTATCCTATCCTGATTGCCCACCAACCATCCTCCTAGGTGTCGCCCTCCTTACGGGAGACCTACAAACTCTGGAAAACTCCTTTAAACTGAAGCAACTTTCTCTTCTAAACACAGAATTCCAAATTAAGGTAGATAAACCAAGGTAGCATTTCCATTGGAGACACAAAAGGGTAGCTCGCTCTCTGGAAAGCACTATCCTATCCTGATTGCCCACCAACCATCCTCCTAGGTGTCGCCCTCCTTATGGGAGACCTACAAACTCTGGAAAACCTCTCTAGCCGCCTTCTGGCTGGTCAAAACCCAAGAATCCCCCCCCCCGGGAAAGAAGGGAGGGAGGGAGGCTGGCTCTCTGCCGCTTCTGCTGCTGCTGCTGCTTCTCCTCAGGAGCCTCCTGGGCTCGGGCGCAGCCTCGCCCTCCTCCTCCCCCCCCCCGGAAGAGGGGGGAGCACAAAAGAAAA